ACATGTTGGACACAGACTGTGGACATGTTGGACAGACTGGACATGTTGGACACAGACTGTGGACATGTTGGACACAGACTGTGGACATGTTGGACACAGACTGTGGACATGTTGAGAAACAAACAGGAGTACCTCTATTGTCCTGGAATTCTGTTGGACAGGGTTTCTTCTTGTTGTCCATGGAGGACTCTGGACACTTGTCCTTGTGTCTCTGGTCCAACACACCTGGTTTGCATGAACAGGTGAGTATCAGACTTCTACAGAACCTGAAGAGGTCATTCAATGACTGAACCAGGTGTGTTGGAGCAGAGACACAAGGACAACCTGCAGGACAGACCCTGGAGGACCTGAGTTTGACACCACTGGTCTAGACTGTACCACGTGTGCTAGTTAGCTGTTAGCTGTTAGCAGAGCTGATTAAAGTTAATTTAGCTGAAGCTAACGATCAGCTAACGATGATCAGTTAAATCTGTCCAGCTCAGATCCAGATGTGACCCATCTGAGTTTTGGGCTGTTTTAACCCAACAGGTTTCACCAGGTTTATCAGAGTCCAGTTTTTGGACTCTGAACAGTGGGATCAGTTGATCTGGTCCTGCCCCCCCAGGTCTGAGCTGATTATACTGAGTTCTGTTCCACACTAACAGATGACTGCTCCTCTCCTGGTGCTGAGATCACAGCTCTGCCACATCAAAGATTCCCACTGCTGCGTCCTGAGGATTAGGAAAACAATGCAGCAGGAGGAGCAGGAAACTCGCCATCCGTGCGCCGCCCGCACACACGTGCACGGCCTCGCATTACATGCATGACATCAGGACGACGACCCAGATAGAAGCTGCTGTCACCTCTGAGGCAGCCGAAGAAAGGAGTGAGGAGAGCCGAACAAGTCGAGCATTTTTTATCATTATTATTCATTTAACAMAAAATGATAAATAAAGGACTTTATCATTAATAAGAAAATCCARACATACAGTAAATAATCCCTAAATTTAGTTGGAGCACCTTTAGCAGCACYAACTGCAGTCAAGTGTTTGTGAGAACTGATGATGAGTCTTTACAGCACTGAGGAGGAACCCTGGCCACTCCTCTCTGCAGAAATGTAGTCACTCAGCCACACTGGAGGGGTTCTGAGGAGGAACCAGCTCTTTAAGGTCCTGCCACACATCTCCATCTGATTCAGGTCAGGACTTTGATCAGGCCACTCCAAAGTCTTCAGTTCTTCTTCAGCCGTTCAGAGGTGGACCTGCAGAAGAACCCAAGCTGGAGGTCAGGAACACCTGGCTGGATGTTYTCCTTCAGGACCACCATGTTGTTCTGTTGGTCTGATGTTTCTTTGCTGAAATKATGTTCCTTCTACACCAGATGTAACGTGATTTACACCAGTCCACAGATGATTCTCACTAAAGTCTCAGGGTTCACCAAAATGTTGTCCTGCAGAACTGAGACGAGCCTTTAGGGTCTTTTTGTTCAGTAGTTTCCTCTTTCAATCCTATTTCAATCCATTTTTGTCCCATATCTTTCTTATTGTCTGAACACTGACCGTACCTGAGGACAGTGAGGTCTGCAGGTCTTTGTGGGGTCTTTGTGGGGTGCTTGTGGGGTGTTTGTGGGTCTTTGTGGGATGTTTGTGGGTGTTTGTGGGTCTTTGTTGGGTCTTGGTGGGGTCTTTGTGGAGTCTTTGTGGGTCTTTGTGGGGTCTTTGGGAGTCTTTGGGGGTCTTTGTTGGGTCTTTGTGGGGTCTTTGTGGGGTCTTTGTAGGGTCTTTGTTGGGTCTTTGGGGGTCTTTGTGGGGTCTTTGTGGGGTCTTTGTGGGGTGTTTGGGGTCTTTGGGGTCTTTGTTGGGTCTTTGTTGGTCTTTGTGGGTCTTTGTTGGGTCTTTGTGGGGTGTTTGTGGGTCTTTGTGGGGTGTTTGGGGTCTTTGGGGTCTTTGTTGGGTCTTTGTTGGTCTTTGTGGGTCTTTGTTGGGTCTTTGTGGGGTGTTTGTGGGTCTTTGTGGGGTCTTTGTGGAGTCTTTGGGGGTCTTTGTGGGGTATTTGTGGGTCTTTGTGGGACTTTGTGGGTCTTTGTTGGGTCTTTGTGGGGTCTTTGTGGGGTCTTTGTAGGGTCTTTGTTGGGTCTTTGGGGGTCTTTGTGGGGTCTTTGTGGGGTGTTTGGGGTCTTTGGGGTCTTTGTTGGGTCTTTGTTGGTCTTTGTGGGTCTTTGTTGGGTCTTTGTGGGTCTTTGTGGGGTCTTTGTGGAGTCTTTGGGGGTCTTTGTGGGGTCTTTGTGGGTCTTTGTGGGGTCTTTGTGGGTCTTTGTGGAGTCTTTGGGGGTCTTTGTGGGGTATTTGTGGGTCTTTGTGGGGTCTTTGTGGGTCTTTGTGG